CTTCCCCCCCCCCCGCCCCTTTGCATACGCAAGGGCAAGTGGTTGGACTGCCTGCATCCAAAGTGGTGGATCAGAGCCTGGGTTGTTTTAGCTGCACATGTCCTGCATTGTGAGCTGGTTGGACCCGACGATCTCAGGGGTGGGGGAGATCACTTCCAGCATTTTAATTCTGTTGTTTTGTGACCCTCCTCCTTAACTGCAGTTTAAAAGAGATGCAATGGTGATGATAATCTTAAAAATGGCAGAGCTGGAAGAACCCACATGGATTCCTCGAGTCCAGCCCTTGCCAAGCAGGCTCAGTGGAGAATTGAACTCCCAACCTTGGGCTCCGTGGCCAGAGACCTAAACTCCTGAGCTATCCAGCAGTTCTATTTCTATGTTCTTTTTAAGAGCTTTTATTCAGTCAACTGAGCCGGGGGAATGACCTCCTCTGCCCGATGGTGCTGACCTCAGCCCGACTTTCCTTCCCGTAGCGTTCCGGGTGCAAGTGGAGCGCGAGAGCCAGGAGAGCGCCTTCCGAGTCTACGATGTGACCATCCTGGAGCCCTTGCAGTTCAGTGAGTGATGCAATGGGTGGGGATTACACACACACACAAGGAAGGATTTATGCCCAAGAGGATCCAAATATAGCCAGCGATGCAGGGCAACCTGCAAACCTCACGCCTCCCCACCCACCCAAAGCCCAATGGTTTGTGGTCCTTGGCTCAAATTTGAAAGTTCTCGGGAAATGGCAAGTTCCGATTTCTGGCCAAAAGAAAAGGGGTGTCAGGGAGGAAGTGAGATGATAGAAGGAGGGAGAGAAATAGATGAAAGGGGGGGCTCAGAAAATGGACAGCAGGAAAAAAGCGGGGCCAAGGTATGGTTGTGCTCCCCACTGGCTTTGCTTCCGCCCATTGTCCAGATGTGGCTTTCCCCAAGTTCCCCCAGAGCAGAAGCAGCAACAGTTCTGCAGATCTTATGAGGTGGCCGCCTCTGGCAGCCTTCCTTCACCACTGGGCTCCACCAGCTAGGGATGATAGGCGTTGTAGTCCAACCACCTCTGGAGGGCCACCAGTTGTCCTACTTCTGCCCTAGAGGGAGTTTGGGGACCTTATTTCAGTCCAACAGACCAATTCCAGTTCAGAGAAGTTCTTGGTGCTTTTTTTCTGAGAGACAGGTGCGTTTGGGGGGGGCTGTCAAAGATCATTATAGGGAACCCCCAAATGCCAGTGTTCTAGCTTAAAGCTCTTCCTGTGGGTCTTAGAGGAGGCAGTTTCCATTTTAGAAATGAATAATCGTGTGTTGTCAAGTCCGTTCTGAATTACAGCAATCCAGAGTTTTCTAGGAAGAGAATCCTCAGAATCCTCTTCCCTTCTTCTGGAATTGCCCTGAGACTGTGCAGCATGCCCAAGGCCACCCAGGCTGGCTCTTCTCCCAAGAGGCACATGCGGGGAATCGAACTCCCAGCCTCTGGTTCCGCAGCCAGAGGCCTGAACACTGAGCTATGCAAACAGTTTGTCCCACTTTAGAAGTCGGGGGGGGGGGTTGGGGGGAACTCAGCCAAATGCTTGAAAACAAAACTTATTAGCATACTAGGGGAAAAGGGGCCTGGCCCAGTGCAGAACCCCAGAGGGCCAGTCTGGGATCTCAGGAGGGACAGATTTTGTCCCATAGCTTGAGGATCCCCACTTTGAATAAAGGTTATCCTCAGGGGAACGAAGATTCTCCGTTTTTGCCATAGAAGAAGATGGTCTGCTTCTGTGCAGGGCAAAAGTCAGAATCCAGGCCATTCCAAAACCAGAAACCAACCTGTGATGCACCAAGTCGTTCTGAGTATTTAGGGCAAGAAAGAAAAACCTCCCGAGTCTTTCTCCCATCCCTCCCTTTCTCCCTATAAAGATACTCAAGGCAGCATCCGACAGCCAGATAATGCACTGTATGTTCAGAATTGCAATAAATTAAGATATTAATATTTGAAAATATATACAATTAAGCTTAAGCAATGTTCAAACAAATTGAAAACGCGTGATTAAAAAAAAAAGATGTTATTAAAAGCGTCAGTCCTGCGACGAGGGCATTCACGGATCAAAGGTCAGGTTATAGAGGAAGATTTTTAACCTACTTGGTGGAAGGCTCTGAGGCCAAGCCAGCCTTGCGTGGGAAGGGAATTCCACCTAGCGAAGCTTCAGCGAGAGTCAGACCACTGCTGGCCCGCTCCTTGTGACTTTGCAAATCTCTTTTTTCTTTTTCAGCTTCAGACACGACCATCTCCATCAAGCAGAGCCGGCGCTTTGTGGTGCGTGCAGCGTGCCGGACGCGGCTGGCCGTGGGCGGCACATATTTACTGATGGGACGTGATGGGGAAACCCACGATGCTGAAGGCCGGTAGGTCAAGGACAAGGAAGGACAATCGGCTCTATATTTATTTTCTTCCTTTCTTTATTAAAAATATTTTAGCCTCACCTTTTTCCTTAACAAGGACCCAAGGCAGCTTATTACATCATTGAAAAACAGTGTTCAAAGCTAACAACGGTAAGTACAGTAGGACTCCCATATCCACTGGGGATTGGTTCCAAGCCCCCTGTGGATACTGAAAACCGTGGACAATGGCAAATACAAGGGAGAGATGGAGAGAAAGCTAGCTAGCTAGCATGATAAAGGGGAAAAAATCTAGAAAAACGTATCTTCACATGCATTACCAAAGACCATGCTATGTATTCTTCACTAACAAGTCGTATTCATAGCATGTTCTCTGTGCGTTTGATCACTCTAGTGGTCAGTTCTGGTGATACATGTAAAAAGAGTTTTTTCTGGACTTTTTCTTCTAATACAGTGGTGCCCCACTTGACGACAATAATCTGTTCCAGGAAAATCACTGTTAAGCGAAATCGTCGTCAAGTGAAAAAAAACCCATTGGAATGCTTTGAAAACCGGTTAATGTGTTCCAATGGGGGAAATACCTCATCATCCAGCGAGATCCTCCATAGGGGAAGCCATTTTCGATCCCTGTCTTGCAAACAATCGGTCCGGAAAACAGCGGGGAGCCATTTTGCGAACCGCCAATCAGCTGTTTTTAATCGTCGTTAAGCAAAAAACAGTTCCCGAATCGTCATATAATGAAAAAAACCCATAGAAACATTGTTTTGTGGTCGCTATAGCAATCGCAAAAAAGTCATTGTGAAGCTATTTTGTTGTCTAACGGGGTCATCGTCAAGCAGTGCATCACTGTATTTTAGTATTTTCAGAACATGGATAAGTGGAACCGCAGATACGGGAGTCCTACTGTATACAGATATTAAAATGGATCAAACTAGCACACTAAAAATATAATCAACACCAAAACACATTCAAAGCAGTAACGTATAATGATCCATTAAAAAACCTCACTCAGGCAGCCCGTCACCCAGGGAAAGCTTGCCTGAAGAGAAAGGTCTTTGCCTGCTTGCGGAAGGACAGCAAAGATGGGGCCAGGCTGGCCTCCAGTGGGAGGCAGTTCCAGAGTCTGGGAGCAGCAACAGAGAAGGCTCTCTCCTGTTTCCCCACCAAACATACCAGTGAAGGTGGCGGGACTGAGAGAAAGATTATCTTAACACTCGGACAGAGTCACAAAGAGAGATCACAGAATTGTCAAAGGGGGTCCTTAACGTAGCTTGGGAATAAGTGGAAATTTGTGGGGTCCTGAGGACAGTCTAGGGTGGAGCTTGGGAACAATGTGTGAAATTTAACTTGCTCCTTTGTTACATTTTTAGTAATAACTTTTAGATTTGTTTTAATCATGAAGATACCAAACGACGCTATTCCAACACGGCTTGTTATGTTAACTCATTCCAGCCCCTTTTCGCAACTCTCCGTGGTATTTTCCGTTCCAATTGCTTAATAAATCAAGCAGCTAATTCAGGTGCTGAACGTTTTTGAGATCGGGTAGTTTAGACGTCTTGAATGATTCAATCTGACTGTGTTAACCTTTCCAAGCTCTGCCCAGAGGTCACGTGGCCGAGGTTTGCTGCCATGCAGGGTCATTTGTCAGCGGGGAGGGGAGAGAGGGGGAGGGGGAAGGAGGGCAGTGTGCCTGCTGGTCATAATTAGGGTGTGAAAACGAGAAAATGATGAGTGGAGCCAATGCAAACAAAGACAGTGGTGCTCCTGTATTCTTAACACGTGCACAGAGTAAGCTTCAACAGGAGCAACTTTTCATGGCTTTATCTGACAAAAGGCACCTACCAAAACTCCTTCCTATGAAGGGATGGAAATTTTGTGTGCAGATGACACAAAATCGGGCAGAATAGCTAATACCTTGGAAGATTCAAGGTTTTGACTGGCTTGAGCACTGGGCTGAAAACCACAGAATGAAATTTAACAGGGATAAGTAAAAAGTTATACATGTAGGGGGAAAAACAACAACCCCAAACTAATAACCCCTATTAATTAATTAAATAATTTAAATAATTAAAAAATAATCCCTAATGCACAGTTACAAGATGGAGGATACTTGGCTTAGTAATACCATATTTCCTTGAAAATAAAACAGGGTCTTATATTAATTTTTGCTCCAAAAAATCACATTAGGGATCATTTACAGAGGATGTTTTATTTTTTTCATGTACAGCAATCTACATTTATTCAAATACAGTCATGTTATCTTCTTCTGGTTGCCACAGAAGGGTGAAGGGCGGGGTTTCACTTAAGTGGGGCTTATTTTGGGGGTAGGGCTTCTATTACGAGCATCCTTAAAAAAATCATACTAGGGCTTATTTTCAGGTTAGGTCTTATTTTCGGGCAAACAGTGTATTATAAGTGAAAAGGATCTTGGCACTGTTGCAGATCAAAAGCTGAATATGAGCCAACAGCGCCACGTGGCTGCAAAAAAGGCAAATGCAATTTTAGCCTTTATTAACAGAAGTATGGTCTGTAAATCTTGTGAGGTACTAGTCCCCCTCTATTCAGCCCTGGTTAGAGCTCATCTAGAGTGGTGTGTCCCATTCTGGACATCGCACTTTCAAGAAGGATGCCAACAAACTGGAGCAAGCTCAAAGGAGGGCAGCAAGGATGATCAGGGGGCTGGAAACCAAGCCCCTGGAGAAAAGACTGAAGGAACTGGGCAGGTTTAGATTTGAGAAGACTTGAGGGGAGATCTGATAGCACTTCCCAAATACTTGAAAGGTAGTAAGAAGCAGGGCAGGATCTGTTCTTGATCATTCCAGACGGTATGTTACCTAATAATGGGCTCAATATATAAGAAGCCAGATTTCAGCTGAATATCAGGGGGGGAAAGTCTTCTTAGAACAGTACAATGGAATCAGTGACCTCAGGAGGTGGTGAGCACTCCAACACTTGAGGCATTCAGGAGCAAATCAAGACAACCAGTTTTGACAGATTTCCTTTGATTTGGATTCCTGCCTTGAGCAGGAAGTTGGACTTGATGACCTTATGGGCCCCTTCCGACTCCCATCATTTGATGCTCTTCTCTTGCCTTTGGCTACTCAAGCGGGCCTGTCTCTTGAGTGGTCTGCTCAAAGACGGATCTAGTGTGACCTTGTTCGGCCACCTAGATTTCAGATGTGTTGAAAGCCTCTCCCATCAAGGAGGGGGTGGGGCGCAGGGGATCTCTCTGTGCGTCCTCCTGGAAACAAACGTGCCACGTCTGTGAGAGAGGATCTGGGATCTGCCGATCATTCGGGGGCTGGGAGAGGGAGAGATCCTTCTTGCGGCTTTCTCCCGCCTAAATGGCAAAGGCAGCCATACTAGTCTGTTTCAACAACAATAAAAACAAAACAGGAAGGATTGTGGGACTTTTGGGAGTCCCAATTAAATCAACAATTTAATGTTGATTAAATAAAAATAATTCACCACAACCTTTTTGTGGAGTGCAACCTCCAGCGCAAGAGCTCTGCGTGAAATGGGTGGGCTCGTCTCAGATGTTCCCAGAGTACACAAGGCTTCTGTCTTGCTCTTCATCTTTACCACATAATAAACGCCATTCCTTTTTTACTAGCTGTGTTCTGCGACTATTCTACGGTATTCAGGATTTCCCACACAAGACTTGAAAAGTTATTCCTAGAGACCACAAGATCAGCCAGGGGCTGTTGCTGGCTAGGGAATTCTGGGGACCTGTAGTCTTCAAAAGTATTTTTCTCCCCCAAGCTCTGCTTTGATCACTCCTTCTCGAGAAATGCCACTTCCATCCCTCACATTTTGTGAGGGAAAGTGTTGATTTGGGAGACCAGAGTGTCTTTAAGATTTGTTGTTATAGAAAGTACTTACAGCGTCCCTAACTGGACTTTCAAGGTAAGTTGAGATATTTAGGGAATGGTTTTATCAATTCCACGCCCTCAGTGAGTTTTCATGGCTGAGTTGGGATTCGAACTCTGGCCAGAGAGTTCCAACTTAATTCTCCTACAGATTCCGGGAACTGGGGTATGGTGAGCTTTCTAATTAATTTTCAATCCTTTTTCTGCAGCCTCCAGTACCTGCTGGATAAAGACAGCTGGGTGGAAGAGCTGCCCCTACAGAAGCTCTGTGCCGCCACCAGGAACCGCAACACCTGCTCTCAGCTCCAGGATTTCCTCCGTTCCTTTGCCGAAAGTGGCTGCCGGGTCTGACCCAGCAAACAGGACCAAGGATGCTACGGAAATCCAGCTTCTCCTTCCAGCCTTTCTTCTCTGCCATTTGATGCTTTGTGCTTGGAGAAGACACATGTAAGAAGAGCTTTTGTGTAGAACTCGAAAATTGTTTTTTTGTGAAATTGGGTTTGGAAAGAATCAAAGAGGCCACATGGCATCAGAATTCATAGAGCAGACGGAACTGTGGACCGAACAAGCATCACTGCAAGCAAATCCTATTTTTAAAAGAAACGTGGAGGAGGAAGCAGATTTGATTTTTTTTTTTTACCTTTTTGTTGCCGGCACTATTAATTATGCTCTGAAATGTATTTGCACTATTTTAAACTGCTGGTTTGTTCAATAAATGGTATTGCTATCTCATTTTGCTCCCTTTATCTGTGAATTCTTTAGGCTGCTAGAAATAAAAGGATGTGAGGGGGGGCTGTGGTAACAGTAACAAACCTTTTTAATCTTATTATTATTATTCAGGTAAGCCTTTGACTTACCTGAGAAGAGTCCTTGGAAAAGACTCTGATGTTGGGAAAGTGTGAGGGCAAGAGGAGAAGGGGACGACAGAGGACGAGATGGTTGGACAGTGTCACCGAAGCGACCGACATGAATTTGACCCAACTCCGGGAGGCAGTGGAAGATAGGAGGGCCTGGGGTACTCTGGTCCATGGGGTCACGAAGAGTCGGACATGACCAAACGGCTAAACAACAACAAAGCCTTTTGCAACGTAGTTACAGTGAAAAAGGGTCTTATTCCCAATGGTGTGGGTCTTTTGCTCCTTTTGTGATTTTTTTAAAAATTTGCCCATCTCACACAGATGGGCACATGGTGTTCTATCCCCTCACTCATTTTTTCATACAAAGACATTGCAGCTTCAACATATGGACAGATGGGTGCGATAAGAAACTGCTACTTATGCAAGAAAAGCAATAAATATATGAAGGTGCTGAATAATAATACTAATGATGAGGATGAGGTCAAATCCATTCTGATTTATGGCGACCCTTTCCCCAGGTTTTCTAGGTAGAGAATACACACACATGGTTTACCCTCCTTCTGAATTAGGTTTAGAAGAGGTTGCCCCGACAGTCTGTGCTAGCATGTCGGGCAAAAACAAATGAAAAACAAAGAAAGCAAAACCGTAGTGACACCTTGGAAGATTTAGCTGCTGTTTTAAACTGAGCCTTCATGGACAAGGAAGTGGACTTGTGCATGAAATCTCACATTAAAATACAGCAGTTAGTTTAAGGTGCCACAATGGTTTTGTCTTTTTTTTAATTTTTCTTTTGTTTTCTCCTTCTGCTATTGGGTTCTTCAGGCGTTGGTGACGGTTCCCTCATTTTGGCGGGAATAAGAGACGGAGGCGATTTCAAAAATCCAACTGGTTCAACTTTATTAACTTCAATGTCAAGATTAACCAAATGAAATGGATCTAAACAACTTACCGTAATTCCGGCAACGTCTTATAACTCAAAACTTTTGTTCCGGGGGTAAATATGTCGCTTCTTACATTGGGGCTGGACCAAAGCACTTGCAATCAGTCATCCCTCTCAGTGCGGTCCTCCGTACTGCGCACAGCAAGGGTGTTTCGCCCAGTCCCCTTCTAGAGGTGGAATGTTGTAAGAAGGACTGGGACGAATCACTTTCCTCCCCCCACCTTGGTTGCGAGGATAAACCACCACAGTCCATTCTAAGAGTTTCGCTCCCTTCTTCTCCACCTTAGGTAGATCTGGATCGGGCAGCAATCCTCCGCCAGTCTTCAAATTCGGAAAGTCTTTTAACAAGTTGCACACCTTAGCAGAAGCTGCTTCTTCTCTTTCTGCCTGCACCGCACAATCTCTCGTCTCTTTCTCTATCTGGTCTGTTCCAATTCTGAATTCCCGCACATCACCTCCTTCTTTTATTACCTCCTCCCATACTATCCGATCTCGCTCTTCCCCTTTCTCTTCCTCCTGATCCTCTGATAAACACACTTCTATTGCCTTCCTTTCTGTCATTCCTTCTATATTTATGAGTATCCCCTCTGAACATCTGCAAACTTCTTCCTGCACATTTTGGATTGAGGACGGCTTCTTAAGGTGTCCCGAGACTGTGCAGCTTACCCAAAGCTACACAGGCTGGCTCTTCTCCCAGGAAACATGGAGAAGGGGGAGGAATCGAACTCGCAAACTCTGGCTGTGCAGCCGGTTACCGAAACCACTGAGCTATCCAAGCCAGCCTGGAAAGAGCTTACTGTGTGAAAAACCTATGGATTATATACAAATTCTGCTATATGCACTGGAGAGCATTAACCCTGCTTAGCTCCTCATATGAACTGAGATCTCCATTGTGATAGTGGTGCAACAATTTCTGTGGGCTAATTTTGCAATGGGGATAATTTAAACAGAGGTGACGGCAGCTGATAATGGGGGCAGAGGGGGAGCACCCCCACCCGAAAATCCAGGAGGGGAGGCACCACCTTGATTTGTCCATATATTTTTTCAGTACTTGTTCGTTCCTGGTTTTGTAGGTATCGCATGATGTCTTGTTTTGGTTTTGAGGCAAAGGGGGCAAAACCCAGACAAGAGGTTCTAGAGAAGGTGTGACTTTTTCTCTCCCTGAGCTCTCTTCGGAACAGAAGTGTGGAGCTTTGTGTTCCTGGACTACAACTCCCAAAATTCCCCCAATAAGCTGCAAGTTGTAGTCCATAGGCATCCTTCAGTCTCGAGACACTATGGTAACACACTCTGAATCGAGGAGTGTCCTCTCCAGATTATGAAGCCTGGGTAAAGTAGTATGGAGGATAGGCTGTTACCCAAGCAGCAGATCCCCCCCCTCCACGTCGCTGAAATGGTCCAATGGAAAGGCAAGAGCCAATACAACTGGTTCCAGCAACGTCGCAGGAGTTGCCAGAACGACACGAACTGCCTTCGGGACTCCAGCTCCGGATTTTGCCTCGAGGTTAACTCCTGAAGCCTTTTCCATGAGTGGATACAGTATAGCCACAAGGCAGGGGAGGCTTGAAATCGGAGTTTTCCTTCTCCTAAGTTGTAGTGCAGGAGCACAGATTTTCACCTCTCTTTAACTCAGGCACTTGGCAAGGTGGAGCAAATTACTGTAAGCCGCCCAGAGACCTCTGGGTAGAGTGGGCAGCATATAAATTAAATAAATAAATAAATAAAATTAAGAAATTCAACAAAGCTACGGTGATGCCCCTTGCTCTTGGAGGAGACAATGTGGTGTTGGACCATCGTCTGCAGATTCTCCACTTTGGAACAAATCTTCGATACCTTTCTTCTTTGGCTACAGTTCCCAGAATCTGATTCCCCGGACATACCAACAATTTATTTAGCGGCTGGAGCACAGAGAAAACTCATCCACAGCCTTCTGCAATAGGCCCCCTTCAGGTCCAATAACTGAAATGTCATATATACAACACAACCCCAACGCCCAAGCACGGTGAATGGGCTGAATTCCATTGTTACGCGGTCGCAACGGATCCTCTCCTCGAACAAATCGCATCCGCTCCGAATTAAGCGTCCACGGCTCCCAGGTTTAAAAACCTGCCCCAGGTTTCCCACACCACTTTCCCCATACGCACGTTTTTTGGGCTTGCGGCTTCTCCTCCCCCGGAACGGTGACAGCCACGCTTCCTCTAGCCAGCGCTTTTATTTCGTGGAGGGTGGAGGGAATTAAAGGCGCTAGTCCTCATCGTTCTCTCTAGACACGCGACTCCCTTTCCCCCCCCATCCAAAAAAAAAAGATACGAGCGCCAAAATACATTTTAACAAAATAAATGCACCACGGCAGAGTTTGCAACCCAGGTCGCTCTCCTTTCCCACGTGGCTCCGACAGCAAAGAAAAAAAAGGCCACCCCCAAGAAGAAGACGACGGTTTCCTCTCCGGTCCGAGTTCCTTTGCCCCGCCGGCCAATGAGAGCGGGCGAGGTCCCGGGCGAGGAGGCGGGTCCCTTTCCTCTGATTGGCCGCCGCCGAGCTCGGTGGGCGGAGCAGGAAGGCGAAGCCGAAGAGGAGAGTCCGGCTCCCCATCCTCGCCCAAGTGCATCGCGGCCTTGGCGCCCCGTGAAGGGGAGGAGGAGAAGGGGGGGCGCAGAAGAGGGAAAGATCCGGCAAAGTCTCTCCGGATCCCAGGCCGGGGGGGTCCATGGATCGGGCGCGGCGGGCCGGGAGAGCCCCGGGGTGCAGGATTCCCGCGCTAGGCCGGCTCTTCCCAGCCGGAGAAGGGATCCGATCCGGAGCAAACCCATTTACACGGAGCCACCGCGCTCTCCAGCTCCGCCTCGACTAAAAACTTCCTCCGGCTTCCTTAGTAAGGATGTTTGTTTGTTTTTCTTCCTTTGTCCGGGGTCTCTGGCTCTCTTCTGGAAGCTGGCACCCCGCTTAACTACCGCCTTTCCCCCCCTCCCAAGAGCCGTCGGACTACAATTCCCATCATCCCCAGCCGCCATGGGCAGAAGGGGGGGTGATGGGGGCTGTAGTTCACCCGGTGTCCTCGGTTATTTTCCTGCTTCCCGCTGTGCTTGTTTTTCTCTTGCGTTGGCTGCGGTTACTTTTTCTGATCTTACAAGTGGGGTGCATGCAGACGATCACTTTGCTCACGTGTCGTGCCTTCCCCGCCTCCCCGCCCCCATCTGCATTTCCGCTCTTGGTAGCTCAAGGAAATAGCTACTCTTACCTGTAAATATTTGGTGGAGAAATACACAAGTGGCCAAGCTATTCTTGGCAGAGAGTTGAAAGAGCTCCGCTCGCGATGGCAAAGTTTTGTTTCTCTGTGTGAACTCTAAAGCCGCCATCGCTGTTGTCACTGTGGGTGTACAGAAATATGCCTCTGAATTGCTAATCAATGGGCAACAGAGGAGGGAGGGGGTTTGCTAAAAAAAAAAAACCCTCCGTCTTATTTCTGGGCTGCTCATAAGGAATCTGGTTGCTCACTGTGGAAACAGGATGTTGAATTGCAGATGCTTTAGGTCAGACACGTCTTTGTTCTTTTTTATATATATCCTACTTTTGTGTTTAGATAACATTTTAAAAAAAAGTTTGCACATCTGTAGACTGTTATATAAAGTAGGTAGATAACCCCCCTCAAGGCAAAAGGGAAATCCTGGTGAGTTGATTGATATTTATCCTATTAAAAAAAGTCCTAAACAAAACTTCTTAAGTAGTAAGCATCCTTGAAAGCAGGAGGACGTCTATCACGGTGTGAGTTGACGTTTCACAGTCATTCCTGCTGGCTGGAAGAGTCCAAGAATAATAATCTGAAAAAGTAGCATTTCCAAGTTGTGCAGCTGATAGATATTGTTGGACCCATTTGTCATGTATGTCTAATTTGAGAGGGGTGAGTAGGGGAGTGGCCATACAGATGATGTTGGAGTGTAGCTCCCATCAGGCATAGCCAACATAACCTTGAGTGAAGGATGATGGGAATTTGAAGTTCATCAACATCCGGATGAACCCGTTTCTCTTATACCTGGTCTAACATTATATGTATATCTCTGTGTATATTTACGCACATATATTAAATGTCAAATGCCAGTCCATCCCCTTCCCCTTTTCCATCTAGATCAGACTGGTTGAGTGTTATGATCCAAATCATTTAAGAAATAAAAGATAACATTGGTTTTCTAAGATCAGGAATGGAAAGGGGGCAGGCATACTTTTAAGGGGAAAAAGTGAAAATTGCCTTTATAATTTTAATAATAATCATCATGCGGGGCCATAAGTTTTTGGTGGACTTTTTAATTGCTGAGAGAAAACGGGGTATCTATATTTGGATGGTGAAAGTTGCGTATATTTTAACTTTTTTTTTGTAGTGTTGTCCAGTTTTACCTTGGGGAAGAGCACCTCATTTCGTTGCACCCACTTGTGAGCGCAATGACAAATAAATTTCTTATGTCTTATGTCTTATGTCATAATCTTAGAACGGCAGATCTGGAAGAAACCCTATGGATCATCAGGTCCAGCCCCTATCAAGGAGGCCTAGTGGGGAATCAAACTCCCAACCTCTGGGTCTGCAGCCAGATGCCTAAACCACTGAGCTATCCCTGTGAGGAAACGTCTGGCCATGCTATCTGCAAGTTTTTAGGGGTGGTGGCCCAACCCTCCTCCCCAAAAAACCCTTCTTCAAACTCTGCACTGAGGTCATTCCCCAGATTCTTCCAGTGGTGTGATCCCATATACAGTATTGTCATCTGTGAGGAAACGTCTGGCCATGCTATCTGCAAGTTTTTAGGGGTGGTGGCCCAACCCTCCTCCCCAAAAAACCCTTCTTCAAACTCTGCACTGAGGTCATTCCCCAGATTCTTCCAGTGGTGTGATCCCATATACAGTATTGTCATCTGTGTAAGCGTACCTTTTGCATTCAGTGGGGCTTTCTTACAGACCTCATGACCCGACAGCAAGACCTATTAGATTCTGTAGGATTTACCTCAGAGTAAACATGCTTGGAATTGTAATGGGCCCCCACCCTGAGCCGGCACAGTCGTTGTTGTTGTAAACCACTGGCAAGCGAACTGTGACCAGGACCCACACACACACACACACACACAGGCTGTTGATATACCTCTATAGGCCAACTCTCCCCTCAGAATCCAAAATAATAATCCTTTTATGCTTTAAGCAGCTCCAGGAGCTGTAGTTTTGAGGTAAGATCAGGCGGAGACCCTGCCCACCAACCCCACCCATCCCAAAGGACCCACACATAGGAAGATCCACACATAGGAAACCAGAAGTGGACATTTAGCAACATCTGGTTTTCTTCATTTTCTTCATTTTTGTTCGTTTTCAGGGCTAGTGGAGAAAATTGGGTTCTGGCCCTTCTGAAACTGCCCAGGTCTGTTGTAAACCATAATCCGCCTTACGTCATGCTAGAGATATAGATTCTTTGGATTAAAAAAAATCTAGCATGTATAGATCTTGTCCAAGAGATTACGTTGCAGTCCTGGCGATGGGAGATGACAAAAATTGACACAGAAATGACCCTTCCCCTCCTGTCTTATTTTCTGCTAGCCTTTTAAGCTTGACTGTTACTTTTGGTAAAACGGTTTGAAAATCGATGTTGCAAAATATTTCCTGCCTGTTATCTGATTGTCTGAAACCCGGGAATCTGTGACTCGCCCGATCCCACAGAAGGGGCAAAGAGAGGGTTCTTTGTGGGGTGGGTGGATGACCTCTTTGGGCTGTAGATCACTTTGGTCTTTTTTTCTTTTCTTTTTTTTGTTCTGCACTAAGGATGCCTGCTGGGAACGAGACAAATTCATGCTTATTAATTTAAAAGCTCAGGTGGTGTACATGGTCCCTTTTGCCCTCACCATCCCCTGGTGCCCTACGGAGCAGGACTTGGGGGCCGGAGTCCAGGGCCCCCATTCGAGCAGAATGAGCAGGAGGGCCCTCAAACGCAGCAGGGCTGGCCCACCGCCTTTTGAAGTAAGTGAACCTCACACACGTTGCCTTGTCAAAGGGGGGAGAGGTGGGATTAACAGGCCGTGAGAACGCCACAGAGTTTTCGCTCAAACGGTGCCGCTTGGTGTAGCATTTTCCGGCTGTGCAGCTGAGGAATTCTGGGAGCTGTAGTCCAGAGAAAATAGACTTGTGCTGCGCTAATTTTGTGCGATTGCTGCCTGGGAACGAGAACAGGTGGGTTCAGTTGAGGAGTAGTGTCTGGCGGCACCGTGAGTGGATCTAGATCCTTTGGCAGTTTCTGGGCTTCAAAAACTGCCTGCTTTGGACTACAACCCCCAGAATCCCTCAGCCAGCATGGTAGTGGTGAAGGAGTGTTAGTCCAGAAACATCTGGGGACCACTGGCTTAGAATCAGGTTGATCTTTTCAAATTCCATACTCTGTCTTATGCCACACCATGTCTTATGTAGAGGGTTGTCTAGAATAACCCATCATGACAGCTGCCCTCTTCAGTCCATGGGTCTGAGGTGTGCATGGAAGCAAAGCAAAGTGTGCTGCTTATTTACTGCCCCATAGCACTTAAAACACTCTGTAGGAGGTCTATAATTATTCAGGCTACACGTAGGGAGAAAAGAGCTTGCCAGGTCTCTTCAAGATAACAACCCAATAATGTACAGTGGTGCCTCGCTAGACAGTTACCCCCGCATGACAATTTTCTCACTAGACATTGACTTTTTGCGATTGCTATAGCGATTCACAAAACAGTGATTCCTATGGGGGAATTTCGCTAGACAATGTTTGGTCCCTGCTTCGCACACTGATTTTCGCTAGACAACGATTTTCACAGCTCCCTCCGTGCTCGCAAAATGGGTGTTTTCGGGACCTAAGCTTCGCAAGACAGCGATTTAAACAGCTGATCGGCGGTTCGCAAAGCTCCTTTCCTATAGCTGATCTTCGCTAGACGACGATTCTTCCCCATTGGAATGCATGAAAATGGTTTCAGTGCATTCCAATGGGGAAATGTTTTTCGCTAGACGATTTCGCTAAACAGCTATTTCAGTGGAGTGGATTATCATCATCTAGCAAGGCACCACTGTATTTTCTGGATACCCAACTGCCTTGAAAACACACCTTTCTACTGCTGAGATCAGCCGCAGCTTTGAAGGCAGATGCTTAAATCTTCACAGGTGTCCTCTCCCTCGTAACTCCAGCCTCGCTCTTCAACCAGAAGGATCAGAGAGCACGTTTTAGCCAAGTGCGTTTCAGAGTCTGGCTCTGAGGGATTTGAGAGGGAGGCTGAACTCAGGGACCCCATTTTAATTGGCAGAATGATCTCATAGACGGAGGCAAGCCCTGCGTCAGCGACACGGATTTGCTCCACTGAAATGCCCTTTTGCCAGTTGAGAAACTTCAGGCCTGGGGGGGGGTCTGGGCGTGGGCCCCTTGGGATTCCCCAGATGGCCCGGGTCCCTTTGCGTCTGCGCCAACTCTTCAGGGGGTTCCTTGCTTTTGTGTCATTGCCCTCTCCAAATGTTGAAATGATTTTCCTAAACTGGCTGTAATCATTTCTGAACTCCTGGCGTCTCCTGCTCTAACCACTACACCGTATTACATGACTTCACCAAATAGCTTGCAAAGGCCTTCGGAGGCCCCTCTGAG